ACACACACACACACACACACACACCTTACACAATTTGTTCCCAGAATGTTAGTGCCAGAATAGAAAAAGCAGATTAAGACCTTTTCTGATTAAGCATGAGGCATGAAGGGTGTTTGCATAGTCCACGTTGAGTAATCTATTTTTAATTTTGAAAGTGAATAAGACTTTGTTTCAAAAAAATTTTAGTAAATAGGACAAAGTGACAATAAAAGAAACCATTATGTTATTATATAAATGTTACATTTTTCTTTCTCTCCTAGGCAGAAACCAAGTCATTCTTCCTCTATTTTAGTGCAATTATGAATAAAGTCAATACTGTAAAGTTCTGAAATGAATTAGTGATTACAAATGATCCTAATGTCCTCAAAGATTAACATCATAAATTATTTCAAGAAAGTAGTTGTTTTTTATCTTTTTCTGGCTGGGAGAAAAAATACATATAGAACAAATAATATAAGAACTTCCCATAAGATTCAGAAATGATGCCCGAGAGAGTGTAAAAACATCCCACTGTGGCTCCAAGAAGTAGAGAATATCCAGAGGGACAGTATAGTTGCACCAACGCAAAGGAGGCAGATGTGTCTTATGGTTACCTCTAAAAATAGCATATGGAAAAAAAGAGCAATGGTGGAATCTCTGAGATGTAAGGGTGTAATTCATTCTAAACAAACACCTACAACCATTAGTTTTATTCTCATAAGAATAAGCCTGGAACATAATTGCTCAAAATTTCCAGGAAACTATGATGTTTAGCATATGCTTCTGCTATGTAGATAAATCAGAATTAGATGTTCCAGAAAGTGACTAAAATAACTCTAAGGTAACTAGAAGGAAATAAAATATATTCTTCAGTGTGTTTATAGTTAAGCTGGTAAATCTATAAACAGATGACTGATAAGTTAAGGTAAAAAAGAAATGATGAAGAAAATACTAACTGGGAAAATATTCATTTCAGGAAGAGATTAATGGGTCTATGGTTGTTCAAACAAATGACTCTATCAGAAGGTTAAGATAAATACAATGCTATCAGGTGGTAACCTGTTGAAAATAGTTTTACTATTGTAACCGAAATTGTATTTACATGAAGTAATATTTTCCTTTAGAGAAACATATTTACATTTTAGGGCTTTTGTCTTTTTCTAAAATATAGACCTGTGATTGGAACCCCACAAGTGAAATTTAATGTGAAGGTGATCAATAGAGATATTTTCATAGACAAAAGATATATTCATAGACAAAGTTAAATTCATAGACAAACTAAAATTTTGGTACATTTAAAATACAATAAAAATTAATTTGTTGTATAATTTTAAAACAGTGAAACAACCTTAAATACAAAATGCTGAAGTGAAGGATGACAGTCTGGAAAGGCTGTATGCTACGTGATTCCTACCATACAAATTGTGGAGAATGAGAAACTCTACAGAGTAAAAACCAATATTTACGATTAGGGAGGGGTGGAAGAAAGGATTGATAGTTACATCATTGAGAATGTTAAGGCTATGGAATTATTCTGCATGAGCCTCTAATGGTAGAAAAATAATGGCATATATTCTTCAGATCTACATAATATACAACAGTGCATTTTAACACACAGTATAAAACTGGTTTAGTAATAATGCATCCATATGTGTATGCTAAATCTAACGTTTATTAATTTTACCAAAATATGGCATATTAATGGCTCCAATTAGTAGTAACAATAGTAATTTTATTAATGTAATAATGGTAGCTTAATAGCAGTGAAAATGCTACCAGAATGTTGTGATGGTTTATAAGCACATATGTCCTACAAATTTAAAAAAATTAAATGGAAATGTTTAATTACACAGAATGTTAATAAAGTTTAAAAATATTTTTAAACATGAGATGCAAACATAAACAAAAGATAAGAACAATGAAGTCTATCATAAAATCAACGAATCTCAGTATCTCTTTCTGATCCTCAGTACTTCTGAAATTGTAGTTAATAGAATCACTGACAAATTTAGAAAAGTTCCTTCAATATTTAAAGCTGAAAATGTTTTGGAATCTCAACATGAATCTTTTTCAAAGGCTGATCTGGAGAAAAAGTATATTTGTTCAAATAAGCAGTGAAGTTTAGAATTGAAATTAACTACTAATATTTTATAACAATTCATCTTGAGCTCATTCTGTGTTTTGCTTTTTTGGTTGGATTTGTTCTTCTTTACAATTAAAGACTGTTTCTGAGGGTAAAATCTAAAAATTTCCTTCCTCATTATTGATTTTATTTGAAGTGAAATTAGAATACTGACTCCCACATTGAGCGTGTAAAATATGAAAACTCTTAGATTCTTCCTAAGCTTCACTGAATAGCCAGTGGTTATTTGTTTTAACAACCAAAACACTGTTTTCTGACTACATTCTTAACTTACAAATCAGCTTTTTAATCAGACATCATTGTTTCTATTTCTTAAGTAGTTAGAGATCCCATGGTTCATTAAGGATATTATTCCAGTTTCTATTAGAAATAATACTATGAAATAGATCAATACAATTAGCTATCCTTCCCATTTAGCAGACTAGAAAACAGATTCAAAGAGCTCCCTCCCTCCTAATTACATACAGTGATCTATTAATATAGCTAGGAGTGAAATTAGTACTTCCTATTAATTGTGTATATTTAAATCAATAATTACATCTATATACATACACAAATATAGACATATACATATAAGCACACATGATTATTTATTGTGTATATTCAGGACATAAGTTGTAATGTAAACATTTGGGCTCCTATATGCTGAACATTGTTTCAACATGTATGTTTCAGCAGCAAAGGGCAAAGTAAATGCCATTAACTTCTCATTTAAAACTTTCTTTGAGATAAATTTTCTTTCCAGCACCGATTCCGGTAGGGAGTGGTCCTGGGGAGCTTTACTGAGAACATGATGCTGAAGAACTCATCATTTGGATTAACTCACCTGTGGTTCAAATAATCAAGAACTGGGCTGGATTCAGTCTTTTACAAACTGCATAGTCTAGGTTAAATTACCTATCTTTAATTGTCTTAATTTGCCATTATCAACAGTATGCTAACTAATGTCTGTGCATTTTTAGGGCTAAATTTTGGTTACATAAAACCATGTACTGAAGATGCATGGGGGTGGGAGGATTGAAAGACAGGACTAGAAATCCTTTCACGTCCTACCACGTTGTCTTTGTGTACTCATTCTCAGCACCATAAATACCATCAATTCTCAGCATGCCACAATTCTTCATTCATTTCTTTGTTTAACATAGTTTTAAATATTCAGAAGGTTTAAGTATTGCTCTTAAAAATCACAGATTGAAAACATTATTTATCTTAGGTGTCAGGGTGGTCCTATAATAAGTGTGAACAATTTTAGCTTGGAAAGCAAAATATATTAAAATATTAACATTACTAGTGAAATTTTTCTCTCTTACATTGGATTGTTTTTTTACATAAAAGTCATGTGATAAATCCATACATAAATAAATTATATATGTATATGCATAAATATATAGTCTTATATGTGCCATATTTTATACAAAAGATTTCACTATCAATGTATATGATAAACAATACATAAAAAATGTTAATTATAGCTGGGCACCAGTGGCTTTTGCCTATAACCTAGCTACTCAGGAGGCTGAGATTTGAGGATTGTGGTTTGAAGCCAGTCTAGGCAGGAATGTCCATGAGTCGCTGAGATGCAAGTAACTATCAGAACACCGGAAGTGGCATTGTGGCTCAAGTGGTAGAGTGATAGCACTCTGGGCCAATGTGCAAAGTTTAAGCCCCACGAATGAATAAGATAGATGGATAGATAGATAGATAGATAGATAGATAGATAGATAGATAGATAGATAGATAGATAGATAGATATGTTAATTACAAATATTTTTAATAAAAGCATGTTTTCTGAAATTTTTTCAGTGAAGAAATCTTCAAAAACTGGAATAGAATATTTAAATATTGATTATAAACTTTTTTTTTTTTTTTTTGTCGGTTGTGGGGCTTGAACTCTGGGCCTGGGCGCTGTCCCTCAGCTCTTCAGCTCAAGGCAAGCGCTCTACCACTTGAGCTACAGCGCCACTTCCGGTTTTCTGGTGGAGATAGGAGTCTCTACGGTCTTTCCTGCCTGGGCTGGCTTTGAACCATGATCCTCAGCTCTCAGCCTCCTGAGTAGCTAGGATTACAGGCGTGAGCCACCAGCGCCCGGCTTGATGATAAACTTTTAAGTTAAAATATGTGAAATATTTAATAGCAGTGAAACTTAAGTTATTTTCTTCCAGTGTTTTCATTTTTCTTTTTCTTTATTTCCCTTTTCTTTTATCTGCCGTCATGAGGCTTGAACACTGGCCTGGGCACTGTCCCTGAGCTCTTCAGCTCAAGGTGAGCACTCTACCACTTAAGCCACAGTGCAACTTCCAGTTTTCTGGTGGTTAACTGGAGATAAGCATCTCATGAACTTTCCTGCCTGTGCTGGTTTTGAACCACTATCCTCAGAGCTCAGCCTCCTGAGTAGCTAGTATTATAGGTGTGAGCTCCCAGCTCCTGGTTCAGTTTTCATTTTTCTAATTAAAGTTGAATTAAAATGAATTAAATATAGAAATAAATTAAAATGAATTGATCTCATCTTTGAACAGGTATTTGCTACAGATATTAATTTTATTTCAATGAAACATAATTGTAATATTAAAGTATCATCAAACCAAAATATTTCTTTTATGTATGAACTCATGCTGAAAGCTGATGATTGTCTTCTAAATGCTGAAACTTTACATATTTTTAGGAGAAATATTGAGGAATATGAGATATTTATTACTTAATCACTGGAAAAACATTGATGACTTTTTCCTGTCACAGTCACCTTGAGGCCTTTATCACACCTCACACACTGTCCCTCAGCATTTGATAAGTGTATTCAGAGAATATCCAATTCCATGGACATACTATATGCTGCTATGCATGAAGGTCATGTCTTAGGGTAAACTGAACAGGAACTTACCCCATTTTTTGGGAAAGCAATCCATCCCAGGTCCCCCATGACAGTGCGTGAATCCAGTAAATTCACTGAAAGAGAAAACATACAACTGGTTAAAAGGCATAACAATGTTTCCCTATATAAATAGTGTTACTAAAAGTGCATACTTTTTACAAAAATCATATTAGTCTGTTTCTATAATTAAAATATGAAAGCTGTAATTTATAAAAACCATTATTGTGGTGAAAGATGACAAATTATTATTGTTACTATTATTATTATTAGATGGTGTTCAGATTTGAATTCAGTGTTTGACATAGGCTAGACAGACATTACTGACTGAGCCACATCACCAGCAAAAGCAATATTTAACAAACACTGGGATAACTGTTACAATAAAAATTCATAAGCAAGCCAAATTCAGGTAGCTTACGCCTGTAATCCTAGCTACTTAAGAGGCTGAGATATGAGAAATCAGGTTCAAAGCTATCTCATGTTGGAAAGGCCCTGGGACTCTTTTATCTCCCATTAATCACCAAAAATGGAGCTGTGGCTCACATGATAGAGTGCTAGCCTTGAGAGAAAAGCTCAGAGGCAGTGCACATGTGCTGAGTTCAAACCCCACAACTAGCACATAAATAAATAAATAGATAGATAAAAAGAAAACAAGTGGGGGGAAAAGAGACACAAAATAAGGAAGAGAAAAAAGAAAAAAAGACCTAACACTAGTTAGGCACTAGTGTCTAGCTACTCAGGAGACTTAGATCGATCTCAGTTCACTGCTAGCCAGAGAAGACACATGTAAGAGAGTTTTGTTTCTAGTTAACAAGCTAAAATCTGGAACTAGATGTGTAGCTCAAATACTAGAATGTGATCCCTGAGCAAAAGATTTTAAGTTCAAACTCCTATACTAGTACACACTAAGAAAGAAATAAAGCATAGATGATTGGATCGATATAGATATATAGATAGATAGATAGACAGACAGACAGATAAGTCAATCAAAAGCCTACACAGCTTTGTGTAAAGAAACTGGATTTTGGGATTAAGCTACACCTATAAAATTGTAGCTAAACATTTTATTTTCTTCAAGAAAGCTGTTATGAAGCAATTAACAAATAATTTACATTAAACAGCAATAACTATTCCCAAGCTTGTGAACTTTTAGTGATATTAACCAAAATCTGTTATACAAATTGTAAATTTAATTAAAAAAATAAATCTACAAACCCGTAACCAAGACAAGGATATGGTAATTTACTGGGGATTTGTTGCTATAATTAATAGTCCACTGAATTTTCCCAAGATCTATGTACTTAGACATGACCAGAATGAATTGTCAATTATATTTTAAAATCCTTAGACCTTGGCAATGTCTAGGATAGAGATGAACATCATCACCATAAAAGAAAACTAAAAGGAGTACACACACACACACACACACACACATACACACACAGACACACACACACTGTGCTTACACACACTCCTGCAAAAATCAAAATAAATTAACGGGTACAAGCTACTGGTGTGCTTTAGGTAACAGAATCTTATCTGAATCTTATCTTTAGAAACTTTTGTTTCTATCCCACATAGATGTTTCTGGACCCCTGACCCACTTTAAATTAAGCATGGCATATACCTATAAGAAGGACCCATATACCTATTCCTAGTCAGAGGGACAGAAGCTCTATAAACTGCAAGAGCATTTATTTGAAATGCAATTAAATTTAAGAGAAAAACTCTATCTGCAATTGTAATAAGAGTTGATAGGCTGGGAACTATGCTGTCACACTTTGGAGAATAACAAGTATAAAATGACTAAGATTGAAAAAGTCATGATAATCACTAACACCAGAATTTCATATAGTTTATAAAATTTAGGTACATATAACTTTTATTATCCTTCATTTTATTTCATAATGGTATAAAATGAGAAAAAGATACATTTGCAAATGCATTTTATTAACTAAGATAGAAATCTGTAATATTAACAACATAAAAATAAATGTGAAGGGCTGGGAAGATGGCTCAGTGGTAGAGCGCTTGCCTTGCGTGCCTGAGGCCGTGGGTTCGATTCCCCAGCACCACATAAGCAAAAAAGAAAAAAAGCTGGAAGTGGCGCTGTGGCTCAAGTGGTAGAGCGCTAGCCTTGAGCTGAAGAGCTGAGGGATAGCGTCCAGGCCCAGAGTTCAGGCCCACAACTGGACCAAAAAAATAAATGAATAAATAAATAAATGTGAAGCAAATACAGATGTATGCTAATTATCACATATACTTGATGTTGTTGTACTATTTTTTACCACTATGTATAAAAAAATGCATGCCCTATAATGTTTCTATGACTTTCTGGGCTACTCATATCATATTGGCTTTGTGGAATAATAAAATCATTTGCAAAACTGTTCAACAATTAATCAGAGGGGCTGGGAAGGTGTCTTAGTGGTAGAGTGCTTGCCTTGTATGCATGAGGCCCTGGGTTTGATTCCTCAGCACCAGATAAGCAGAAAAGGCCTGAGGTGACCCGTGGCTCAAGTGGTAGAGCACTAGCCTTGAGCTGAAGAGCTGAGGGACAGAGCCCAGGCCCAGAGTTCAGGCCCCACGACTGACAAAATAAATACATAAATAAAATTAATAGAATTAGAAACTACTATTTAAAACAACAATAAAAGTGAAATACCTAAAACTGTTTTAACCCACTTATTATGGAAATATGGATTTCCAGTAATGCCATTCCTTCTGATTTTCAGTCAGATTTACACTTCGTTTTTTAACTCTATTGTTAGCTTTTCTAGTTTCCATGGGGATACGGCTACATTAAATATAAATGTCCTTGTCCTCCTTTTAGTATTTCTGGGGCAGGAGGGCTCTGTCTAGACAAGACTAAATAGCAAGGGAGTGCAAACTTAAATTGTTATGTTTATTCAGTTTAATGATTCATGAGATGAATCTTTGATATTGAGTAGCAATATCTCTGTAGATGAGATGAAGTAGAACAAATTAGCAAACTAAGGGTGTTACTGAGACAGCAAACAAATAGAACTAAATCCTGATGTAGCGAACTGATGCACATTAAAATTTTAGGGAAATTTTTAAAGAGCCTGCCAGAAAAAACAGCATTCCTTGTTGGCCTCTTATTATATTGATTTGAAGTATTCACTTTTACCAATAGAATTCGAAATCTCTTTTCAAAATATGGTTGTCTTCCCTTTAATAAGCCTTAATTTATGTTTTCCCTCACAACAGATGGCTTAGCTATTAGTATCATTACTAGAAGGTTTTAATATTGAATTATATTACAAAGTATAAAAATAGATGTAATAATAATCTATAAAGTTTCACTTACATGGGAGTCAACATACTTCAATAGGATAGATGAAGAAGTTTATAGAAATTATATGTCATTTCCCACTGCTCAAATTCATTTCCATCCTAGGATTTCAGTAAGTTCACCGTGCAAAGAAAATATGTACATATACCATTCTTGAATTTGCAGTAAAGAGTAAAATTAATCATTCAAAATTATTTTCAGATTACTAAATTATAATTTTGTCCTTTCAAAGCAGAATAAATGTTTAGGCTTGAAACAAGTTCTCCAATGTCTCAAAATATATACTAAAAGTTTACACACATGCACACGCCCACACACACACACACACACACTTTGGTAATAGGGTTTGAATTCAAGGCTGTAGAGCTGTTCTTGCGCTGTTTTGCTCAAGGCTAGTACTCTACCATTTTGAGCCACAGCTACAGTTTCTGTTTGGGGGTGGTCAATTGGAGATTAAAGTTTCTGGGACTTTCTTGCCCAGGATGGCGTGGAACTGCAGTCCTCAGGTCTCAGCCTCCTAAGTAGCTACAATGACAGGCATGAGACAACAGCACGTAGTTATAAATTTAAAATATATGAAAAAATCTTTCTTTTACTTATCTAAACCAACAAAAACAAAAACAAGGAAAATAAAATTGTTCTGTTTCCCAGGGCTTACGTATCCATAAGCATCTTGCTTCCTTTCTGAATTTCTCCTCTTCACAAGACTGTTTTTCAGGAGCTACCATATTTAGGAAGTCATCAGTGATTCTCCCTTCTCTAAAGTCAACTGAGTACTTACTCCTAAATATTTTATTAGCACCCAAATTTTAGCTCTAAACCATGAACTTTATCATTGTCTTTAAAGAATACCCCAAGTTACTCATTCTCATGAACCTACTCTTAGTATTAACATCTAAGTAACTTTTGGAAAAACAATTATCTAGTCAGTGGACAGACTGAAATTGCCAGTGGGTTTCAACACCAGTGGGTTTCAACAAGGACATTTGATAGAACTTGGCAATGTTCTGTATTGTAAAACGTCTTGGAAGGAGTGTAAGGGAGATATTTTCAACTAATAATTAATGGGGGAAAGAAAAGCCAAACTGTAGACTAAGCATTCTGCAATGCACAAAATAAAAGGTGTTCAAGAAGTAATTAGTGCCAAAACTGAAGAACCCTGTCGATGCATAAACCAATAAATGCACCTAAATTGTCTGAATTTTCACGTTTCTTTGTGTGGCACATCATTACCACTGTCTTTTTAATAGAAATGTGTATATTTGGAAGTGATCCTTGTAGAAGAAAATAATACATTCATTTCAGGAAATAAAAATAATAAAATCATCTTGGATTGGAGAGAAAAGCAGAGACTTCTAACCACATATTTTCCCTAAATTATTATTCACAAAACGAGTGTAATTATTACTAAATATTAATAGATGTTCAGGTTTATGCTTTAATAATTTCTCAGTATTCATGATAGCATTATTTCTTCAAAGTTATTAATGAAAAAATACAAAAGAGTAGCTTTGTAAAAGGAAAAAAAGATACACAGGTTCCATATAAATGTGAATTTTTCAGAAGTTTATTTCCCAGCTTTATTACCAAATTTGTTTAAAAAGAAGAGAATGGCAGTAATAGAGCACAATCACTAAGAGCCTTCTGTGCTACAATTACAGTAATTAAATTGTTCTGAACAGTATATATGCTTGTTGTAAATTGCAATGCATATACAATGAGTATTGATCTTCATTGTACAACTTAATTAAAACTTGT